GGATGGTCCAAGAGATGGGTTACGGTATTATTTTATTAAAAAGTGCGATAGTTTTTAGTGACGAATATGTAAACTTAATGTTTTTCATGTAAAGTATATACATGTAGTTAACGAGATTGAAAATAAAAAACTGTATGGTTTAATTTATGCTATATTACAAAGCATTTGATAAAAACTTTAAAATTACTTTTTATGCGTAAAGTACTGTTTATTAAAGCATATTACTTAAAACTCAAAATTACAAGTAGATTATGCGTAAGTACAACTTATTAAAGCTTCATATATGAATTCGTGTAAATAATTGTTGCATAACATAATTAAATACAGAATAAGCATCTCATTTTAAATATAAAAAAATCTAAAATATAATTAGGATAATCATTGAATCTTAACAGAATACTTAAATATTATCTTTATAAAATTTATAATATTAAACCAAAAATAAATTATTTCATTATAAAAACTTAAATTAAATTATAATAAAAAAATAAATTAAAGAAACTAATTACATACAAAATGAAAACTTTTAAATAGTTGATTTGATCTATACTATATTATAAAACATTTGACAAAAACTTTTAAAAACTACTTTTTATACGTAAAGTACTGTTTATTAATGCATTTTATTTAAAACTCAATATTGCAAGTAGATTATGCGTAAGTACAACTTATTAAAGCTTCATATCTAAATTTGTGTAACCAGATAAATATAATCAAATACAGGATAAACATCTCATTTTAAATATAAAAAATCTAAAATATAATTAGAATAATCATTGAGTAGTAACGAAATACTTAATTATTATCTTTATAAAATGTTAATTATTAAACCAAAAATAAATTATTTCGTTATTAAACTTAAATTAAATTATAATAAAAAATAAATTAAAGAAATTACATAAAAATGAGAACTTTTAAATAGTTGATTTGATATTAATATTGATATATTTTTTTCCAAATTTTTACAATATCTTCAAATTTATATTTTATTCAAAAATAAAATCATCGTTGTTTTCTTAAAAACACATAAAATCGTATTATAACATCGACAGAGACAAATAATAAAATAGAACATTAAAATCGAGGTGTACCTCGTTGCATTGCGCGAGTACTCTTCTAATATAATATAAGAGATCAGGTTTCTAATAAACCTAAATTTTTATTCAAAGTTTAACGGAATAAAAATTTATCATATTATGGGGGTGTTTGGGATTGCTTATAAAAACAACTTATTGACTTACTCCGGTGTGACACCGATAATAAGCGTTTTTGAGAGTTTGAATAAACAACTTATATCATTTGTATATATGTTCAGTAACTATAAACACTATCACGTACACTATTAATATACACATCTCTATATAACTCATTTGTATATATGTTCAGTAACTATAAACATATATACGTAAATTGAGAAAATTAACTGAATGTCATATACGTAAGAAGTATGGAATAGTTGTATCAAATGGTTGATGATAAAAAAGAAATTATGAATAAAGAAATAACATATCCAATGTTTGAATAATATTTTAATGTACCAAAGTATCAACCTGACTAACCTGATCAACCCATACGGTTTGAGTTGAGTTACGATTTTTCAAACCGCGAGTATTTGGTTGAGTTGTTCAAATGTTTTTAAACCGATCAAGTCAACTCATGAGCATTCTTAGTTACGGTGACGACGGTGGTAATGATTTTTTAAAATTACAAATCCGCCAAAAATTGGTCTCATTCAGTACCAACTTCCCAAACGTTCCACCGTCCCCACGACTTTCAAACTCACGCGCCTATCTTTTTCCATTATTAGATTTCACTTGGGACCATCATTAATAAATCAAGATCTTAAAAATATTTAATTTCAAGATATTTATCATAATTGCAATGATAACATGGCATTTTGGATCAAGGTTACCGTGAAACTCCGTCAAAACACTTTAATTTGGTGACAATTTGTGTCTACAAAGTCGTAACAGATATAAATATAAATGAGTATCAGTAATTTGATTTTTTGTTTGTTAAATATCTCAATTGACGAATGTGACGTTGAATTTATGTGGCACAAAACCGGAGGGCAAAATCCAAACTCAAACAAGGGACGTCTTTCCCATAGAGGAAACGTATGATGACTGTATCGAAAAACTAATGATGTCATAATCTTTTTTAACTTTTATATTTGAAATGTACCGTGTATTGTTTGGATTTTTATTAGGAAATAGTAACATCAATGGTGTTCATCGGTTGAAATCCAATTGATCAAGTTGGATCTGATTCAATCCAATAAACATTGGACAATAAGTCTAATATGATCCAACTGATTATTTAATTGGATAGGTTCGATTTCAGCCATTGGATACATCACTGTTAGTTATAAGTTGGATCAGATTTGGTCCAACCAATAGTAACTAAACTATTATTCAAAAACCAACCGATCCGATTTGAATCTTGAAATTTTGCATATGATTCAGTCTTGTCATAGTTGAATATTCAATTATGGACTCTGAACTGCAACATAATCTATCAGTTCTAATAAAATCAGATAACTTTTCAACACATTTTTACATAATACATCATATACTTTAATTTATACAAAGTATTTTTCTGAGTGAAATTAAGAAATCATATAATATTAATGTTCTTAAACCGTTGTCTTTTTAAGACTAAAAACACAGAATGGAATAATATTTATAGTTATAAAAAAAAAGACATATTTTAACTAAAAGTTGAAAAGGAAGTAAATATAATAAAATAAAATGGAGACTGATTCCCAACATAAATTTAAAATTCAAAAAGGCGTGTAGGGTATTTATTTTTTCATAAAACATTACGATTATATTTTATGTTTTTTTTGTCTACGTTGTTTGTAAAATATTGTGGATTTCGTTTATATGATTTTTAAGATTTTGGTTTTCAACTATAAGAATGGTGTCTGATTGGTTTGAGCTTGGCTCCAAAGGTTAAAAGTACCAAGAGGTCTCAAGTTCAAATCCAAGGAGAAATAAAAATCTCCTTGTGGCTACGGAGGTTCAAATGCGGTGACTCCGGGCTATCTGCAAAGCATGTGGTCGCCCTATGATTAGTCGGCTCGTATAACAGGTTGGATATCCAAGTTAATAAAAAAGATCTCTCTGGTTTTTATTTTTACAAATTGAAAAGTACATTTATGGTCCAAATTTCGTGTTTCAGAGCTGAAATTGGTCTCTCCAATTAACACTATTATAGGAGGCTCCATTAAGTTAGTCATGTGTCCCTCATGTGATGGCAATCTCGTCTTTTTATGCCTAATTTTAGAGTGAATTACATTTTTGGTCCCTCCATTGTTGGCTTTTGGTTCTCACTCATACATCTTGTAAAATACACTGGTAGTCCATTTTATGTACTTTGAAACCCAAAATGGACCGTTCTCCAACATTTCTATCCGACAAACCATAATCCCTTCGTGAAAACCTCTGTTCATGGACATGGGTTTTCAAGAAAGCATTGGCTTTCACCCTTCGCTGTTTGACAATGGTTGAAAAACACAGGGAGGATCTTGTGATGGTGTGAAGAGTAAAATAATGTCGAGGAAGGGACCATTTTGGCTCCAAACACATGAAAAATGGACTACCAATATAATTTACGAATTTTAGAGACAAAAACCAAAAAATAGTCATAGATGAGGGACCAAATATGTAATTCACTATAAATTTACAAAAAAAAAAAAAAAAAACGAAAATGCCTCTCATATAAAGAATACATGACTAATTTAAGGGAGCTTCATTTAACGGTGTTAAGTGGAAAAGCCAATTTGGGTTCCGATACATGAAATTTTGACCTTCAATGTATTCTACGAATCGTAGTGACGAAAACCAAAAAGTAACCATAGACGAAGGACCAAAAATACAATTCACTTAATAATTAAAAAAACAAACTTTTAATTTGATAAATTCATATAATAATTAATTCAATTACTCAAAAAATATTCTTAACAATATAAAATGTAGAAAGGTTTTGGTCCTATATTAAATTACCAATAATCAGTGATGGCTATAAATTCGTTCGTATATATATATAAAATCAAATCGTACCAAAGTTCACAAACAAAATATGTATAATTTTATCCATTAAATAATGATAAATAAAAACTTTTTGATGTTTAAATTTTATTTAAAATATATAGTTTTTTTAAAAAAAATCAAATAAAGATAGAGAAAACCTCAAAATAACGATAATCATAAAATTGATTTTAATTAAGAAAAATAAAAAAAGAACGAAAAAAGTCTCACATAACAAAATTTTTTTTAAGGACCGCTAGAAAAATGAATCAAGATCCATGCGAAAATATATGAAACCTCAGATTAATCTCCAAAAGAGCTTTTAAGGAGAGAATGGAGTTTCCGATATATATAGAAGGGAATTTGTCCAAATATAACCGATATGAAACTCCAACACGCCCTCTCCAATAAAAGCTCGACGAACACTTATTGGCCCAGAGTGTCGAGAGGGGGCTGTCTGGCCAGGCGATTGCCCGATAGTATCGATTCCGTAAAGTGGTAAACCTTAGTTATGATATCATGTAAGAACATATAAAACCTTAAATTAATATTTAAAAGAACCTTTGAAAAAAGAATATAATTTACAACATATATATATATATATATATATATATATATATATAAACTAAATTTGTAGTTTTTACTTTAAAATAATATATGGTAATGATGATATGTATTTAATTTTTTAAAATCCGACCAAACAATTTGCAGTTGATTATTACACAACCATAAATAATAAGTTTTTTAACGGTAAATCTTTATGTGTTACCTCACATTCACAATATTTAATTTTAAAAATAAATAAATAAATAATCGACCGTATTTTGTATTAATTTTTTAATTGTAATACGTGGCTACCGTCAACAAAAGGAAGCTTTTTATAAGCCACTTGGAACACACAACAATCTTCTCTCCACGGAACCGGGTTTATGATAAAAAACGGGAATCACTCCAATTCGCCAAAACCACCCTTCTATGAGTATTCAACGTAAAAATCAAAGCTTTTCCTTTTAGTTTCATCCAAGATTTCCTCCGGCGACAATGTCGTCTGGGTTTTCCGGCGGGTTCCCGGATTTCTTCAATGTGAACGGCGGCGGTGTAAACAACGTTGCAGGAAGATCTATGTCCATGATGAATGTGAACAACGTCAACAGAAGTGACTACAGGTCCCAACTCGCAGGTATTCTCTCCGACTCGTCTTCGATGGTCAGTGGGTCACGGTCTGATTTGATCGGAAAACGATCGTTGGCTGAATTCCAACAACGCCGACAAGAATATTCCGTTTACTTGAGAAACGTGAAACAAAGGGGTTACAATCAACAGGCTTCTTTGGTCCCTCCAACGGATTTTTTGGTTTCGCCTGAAGTTTCTTCGGTTTCTAATATCTCCTCTTCATCGTTGTCGTCTGTTCCGCGGTACGGTGTTCCGGTTCTGCAACAAGTTCGTCCGCCAACTGCACAAGCCTTCAATCTTGGTAATGGAAACTTTAACGGCGTAATGGGTAGTTATCAACATAACAATCGTAGCAATTTTTCGCGTATTTCTTTACCTAATTTAGCTGCGAAACAATCGCCGGCGACTCAAGAAACGGAGGGAAAGATGATGAAACGTCTGCAAGAGCTTGAGAAACAGCTTCTGTTGGATGATGAGGATGGAGAAAACGATGTTTCCGGCGTTACTAACAGCGAGTGGTCGGAAACGATTCAAAACATACTCGGTTCGACTCCGGTGCAGAAACCGGATAACACTGTTTCTCCTTCTCCTACTTCCTCGTCTTCTTCGTCGTGTGCATCTTCCTCTGCATCTCCGGCGACTACGGTTTGCCCAAAGCAGTTGTTATCAGACGCTGCATCCGTAATAACGGACGGCAAAACAGACTCAGCGGTGGAAATCCTCACGCGCGTAAACCAGGTATCAAACGCGCTTGGTACTCCTGAACAACGATTGAGTTTTTACATGGCGGCGGCGCTCCGATCACGAATGAACGCAAACCTGACGACGGCGTCGGAGTTGTACGGAAAAGAGCACATTTTGTCAACTCAACTTCTCTACGACAAATCCCCATGCTTCAAGCTTGCTTTCATGGCGGCCAACAACACCATTTTGGAACTGGGGCAGGCCGAGAAGAAATTACATGTGGTAGATTTTGATATAGGCCAAGGCGTTCAATATGTGTACTTGCTTCACGAGATTGCGGCGGCGCGTAAGGTTGACAAAGAGACACCCATTTCATTAACGCTTACAACTTTCACGGATTTTGGTAATGGGGGTGCTGAAAGATTGAAGCTTGTGGGTGATGGACTCCGATCACTTTCGAACAAATTGGGTGTTTTGTTTTCTTATAATGTTTTGGATTTCAAATTATCTGATCTCAGTAAGGAGGGTTTAACGGTTGAAAACGATGAAGTTTTGGCCGTAAATTTCGCTTTCAAGTTGAATAAGTTGCCGGACGAGAGCGTGACGACTGATAATCTGAGAGACGAGGTTCTCCGGCGCGTGAAAAGGATGTCACCGGCGGTGGTGACGGTGATGGAGCAGGAACTGAACGCGAACACTGCCTCAATCTCCGCGCGTGTAAACGACGCGTTTAGTTATTACATCGCGTTTTTAAACTCGTTGGACGCAACAATTCCAAAGGAAAACCCGGAGCGAGTCAAGATCGAGGAGGGACTGAGTCGTAGGATTTTCAACTCGGTTGCGTGCGAAGGGAGGGACCGCGTGGAAAGATGCGAGGTGTTCGGCAAATGGCGGGCCCGAATGACGATGGCTGGGTTTGTTTCCAAACCAGTGAGTCAACTCACCGCCGAGTCGTTGATGTCAAAGCTGAACTCGGCGACACGTGGCAATCCGGGTTTCACCGTGAAAGAAGATTCCGGCGGGATCAACATCGGGTGGTTGGGACGGACGCTCAACGTCGCCTCTGCTTGGCATTAGATTCAATGTATTATTATTAATTAATTTTGTTTAATTATTGTTTCCGTTAGATGCCTAATCCCACCTAACCGAATAAACGTGGCGTTTGAATGTGGGGTCAATTTGTAAAAAGTGAAACTTACAAGGGTATGAATATAAATACCATTTTCCATTTTCCATTTTCCATTTATTTAAATCGAATATACCAATTTAATTATAAACTAATTTTTAATTGTTAAACAGACAGGGGGAAGGTGTTTATGGGTAGTTATTATCATACGAATCTTATAACTTAAAGTTGGTATAGAAACATTTAGGAAATTAAAACGATTTTATGTATTTAAGGTTCCAACTTATAAATTATATTCATTTAAACAGTTTGGTTCAAATGAACTAAAGTATACTAAATAGTTGTTTGTCACTTGCTGAATGGTTTGATGAATGATGATTAAGTAGTCATAATAATGAAAAAGCTCTTATGATACAATATTAAATGGAATATGGTTGTTTGGTAATTATTTATAGTGAAATTAGGGCGTTGAATGGTTCAGGAAGACCCAATATACGAAATTATTTAGATGATTTTAAGACCATTAAGAGACATACGTTTTATTGTCAAACAAGATTTACCTTTTAGCGATTCAAATGTTGCCTCATAATGAAACTACTAAGAGGTAAATAAATAGTCAATAACTATATATTTAGATAATGTTCTTAAAAGAATTAGATTTGTTTTGTATTGCGTATTTGTGTGTCTTTTTTCTGATCTAGTTGTTGTTAAGTGGTACAAGCAATTTTGACGTGACTTGGAAAAGGAGCTAAGCCGTATCGATTGATTAAATCGTCTTTAACATAATTTCAAAGGGATAATTCTTTTTTCGCCTTGGTTGAAGAAGATATGACAAACAACTGTTTCAGGAACGAGTCACCTGACAAACAACTGCTTGGGGCACGAGTTACCTGATCCAGGTTCAACATGACAACATAGTTTCATGAGGAAAAAAAAAGAACGTCATCTTTTATGATCCTTTTTTTTTCCTTTCTGATACGTTGGTTTGAGTTTTTGAATGGGTCTCGAGAAAAATGCAAAGAGTTCCATATAACGGGGTTTGTGGGTTGTCAAACCAGATCCTTTTTACACCTTTCTCGTATTCGTGTGTTCGGTTGTAACTTTTTGCCTCATTTGCCCCCTTCCTTACTACATCTCGTAGTTTTTTGTGTTGATGGTGTGCTTGTTTTTTAACAGTCATAGTCGTTTTTATATCGTTTTTGAGTATTCTATTCTATTATTCCATCGACTAGCATTGTAGTTTATGATTGTTTTATTTCCTTTTTTCTTACCATATCATTAATATTACACTGCATACACATCATATAAAACGAAAAAAAATGGTTCAACCTTAAAAAAATCATATTATCTGTGACCTCCTGGTACTTTTGACCTTTGGAGCCAAACTCAAACCAATCAAGTACCACCCTTGTGATTAACTTAAAAACCTTGTGATTAACTTAAAAACCTTGTTAGTATATGTAAAGTTACAAGTGTTCAATGCATAAAATAATGTAAGTATAAGATGATGTCATATGTGACATTAATAGGACACAAAAAGCTGGTACTTGGATACTCAATAAATAGAAAGCAGAAGGTACAAGTAATTAATGCATCATTATATTATGAAGATGGATATATTAATGTGTTATACCATGGACCAATTTCATGAAATGATCAGTGTTACAGACTCACTGCCTCATCTGAATCCTTAGTAAATTTTCCATCTGTAAAAATGTAAAACTTGTGGCCATCATCTTCACCATGTTTAGCAACTTTATGTCACGTTGTTTTGGCCAATTGTACAAGTTTTACTTCATGTATTACAAGCTTTTATAGCGATCTTGACGAAGAATGGAAACAACCAGATTGGGTACGGTGAGTGGGGGATCCGGAGATTTAGGTTACTGGGGCCTTAAGGGTATTAATGTGCAAGGAACGATTATCGAGTGAATGAGTGGGGGTTTCGTCAAAATGTATCAGACCACTGGGGAGAACTGTCATAAATGACTGAGGGAACGAGTTAATTATACCTCGATTACTTAAAAACTGACATTCGAGTGTTTTTTTTTTGGAACCTCTCATGTAAATTAGCCCTAGGTATGGTAGACGGTCAAGAAATGTGTATGTTTGAAGAGGAAAGCTATAGTCGTCTTGCTCAGATGTGTTGTTGGCTGAGACATTTCCATTTGTTAGTTTTAGGTCCTCGAATTTCGTTTATGGGTTATGATTTGTTTGAAGTCACCTGTCGGTTAGGCATGAGTCATCAAACTTATATTCTAAAGAGAGATTCTAAGCGGTTTCACATTTCTAACACGACCATATCTAGGGGATCGAAACATTGTTTCGCCTCCCTTCCAAAAGGTACCGCCTAGAATAGGCGTGTAGGAGTTCCACGTTAACTAGACAAGAACCATCAAACCTGTATATATTAAGTAGGAAGATCGGGTCTTATTGGATTTCCGATGATGTCTAAATTCTATGTAAGTCAATAATTCAAACATCACTTGACATGAAGAGCGTATGTGTATATTATATAAAAAAAACCCTTCTTTTTCTCTGTAAAAGATGTTTTGCATACTCTAAATAATCAGCCCAAGTGCATAATAACATCGTCTAAAATACAATCTTGTACGTTAGCTTAACTGATAACAATGTTTGGGTTTTTGGGGATCCTCTCCAGAGATCAACTGGTTCGAGTTTTACAAGACCACTGAGGATTTTTTTTTTTTGCTGTTTTAAAATACCCATTAAATTAGTTAAGATGCATATGAATTAGTCGAGATATACGTATACTGACTCAGACACCCATGATTAAAAAACACTGTTTTTTTGAAAACTATTGTTGATAGAAGTGATTTACATTTATTTGAGTTGGAACACTACATACCCATGATCATTAAATGCATTCAATGTTATAAAGCAACCTTATCATGTCTTAATAATATTATCTACCTATCGTAAAAATCAATGGTATTTTTTCTATCTTACGAGTAAGGGTATTTAAAAACCCGACCAACGTATTCAACCCAATCCAATCTAACACCAAATAACTTAATCCGAAGCAACATGATGTCTAATCGAGTTGTAAAATTTTCAAATCGTAAGTATTGGGTTAATATTATTTGAGTCTGATATCTTTTTATTTCTTGGATTTAATATGATTGTTGAGTTTATATTAATATATACATTAGACAATTAACTATCGCATATACTCTTCATATATACATATTTTCAATCTATTCTCCATCTCTATGTAACTCATTCGTGTATATGTTCAGTAACTGTGAACATATATATATGTAAATTGAAAAAAAATTAATTGAATGTGATATACGTAAAAAGTATGGATGAATTGTATCAGATGGTTGATGATGAAAAAAAAATTATGAGTAAATAAATAACATGTTAAAGGTTAGAATAATATTTTAATATACCAAAGTATCAACCCGACTAACCCGATCAACCCATACGATTTGGGTTGGGTTGGGTTGCACTTTGGTTTCCATTGGGTTGAGTTAAGAGTTTTCAAACCGCAAGCATTGGGTTAGGTTGTTCAAATGTCTTCAACTCGATTAACCCAAATGAGTACCCCTACTTACAAGTGTATATTGTTTTTTTTTAAACCGACACAATAACTAAAAGATTTAAGATTTAAAAAAGTGTAAGAATGGATTTGTACCCTTGATCATGTTTAATATCAAACACACTTATGAATCACTTTTGATACGAGGATTAATCTATGTGCATCTCATCTCGATCTATGCCATTCTGACGTACGTCCAAGGGTGAAGATCTCTTCTTACGTTTTTCACTTTATTTCTTCTTCTCACCGAAAACTGACCCTATACAGGAATTGATTTTTGTAAATCATATCTTATTCCTACACGTTAAATATTATTAGTGTTTTTTTAATTACAAATTTTAAACTTTAGCATTAAAATACACTTTAAATAATATATTTATTTGAAAATTTTGAATGTTCTGAAAAGTATTATAAATCATGAAAAAATTGTATTACAACTAATAAAAGCTTGATAAAATTGAAAAGTCTATCCTATACATACCCATTTCTAACTGATCTCAATTAGAGATGATCAAATGGGCCCGGACCAACCCGGCCCAGTTTGGGATCGACGGTCCGGTATCGGTTACGATATTCCACCAAAAATAAGTCCCACTATTTTGTTTAAAATTTATTTTCAAATGTTTAATTTCAAATTTACTTTTAAGTGTATGTGATTGAAGACCAAAATGTATTATATTTTTAAATTTACTTTTAAGTACTATTTATTGATGCATATTACTTAAAATTCACGATTATAAGTAAATTGTGCGTATATACAACTTATTAAAACTTCATTTTTGAATTCGTATAACTAACTGCATATAAACATAATCAAATACAAGATAAACATCTCATTTTAAATATAAAAACTCTAAAATATAATTAAGGATAATCATAACAGAATCATGATCTTTATAAAAATTATATTGTTTAGTCAAAAATAAATTACTTCACTATTTGACCTAAATTAAATTACAATAAAAAATTGAATTAAAGAAATTGTACAAAAAAAGAGAACTTTTAAATAGTTAATTTGATATTAGTATCGATATATATTTTCAATTTTTTATGATGTCTTCAAATTTATTTTTATTCAAGTGTAAAAAACATTATTTTTCTCAAAACTACATAAACCATATTATATCAATAAAGATAAAAAAAATAAAATAAAATATTAAAATAAAGATGTATCTTGCTATATTGTGTGGGTACCTTCCTAATAAATTTAAAAGATAAACTCAATTTTTTTGGCTTGTTGACCTAAAACTCTAAAGTCCACGTTACAGGTCCATTGGGCTTGTGCATAAACTAAAAACTCACGGCCCGTTTTTCTATCTACGCGTTCCGTTAAATCATCACAAACTGAACCTTTCCATCTGACCCTTCTAGGCTGCTGCGATGATTGTAAGTCAAGTTCCTCTATCTCTTTACTGCACAATCTTCACCATACTTGAAATTGCTGATTCTCAGTTAATAAGCCTGATTGCTACATTTCTTGGTGTATGGTACGAGTTATTTTCCCTGTTTGATTGTTCATTTATGTCGTTGTTTGTTTGATTTTGCACTGATTAATTGTCCCTACGGATTTGAATACATGGTTGATTGATTTCGCCCTTGTATTATAAAGTATATTTGATCGGCCAACTTCTTTATAACAAAATGTAAATTTTTAGTGTTTTTGATTGACCCAATTATACTAAAAACGTATTTGTTAGTGTATTTGATTGACCAAATTCTTTAAAAACTATTTTTTATATATTAAAAATCAATTTTTAAAAAAAGTGGGACCGACTTGGGTCCGTCTGGAACCGGGACCGGTTCTCATAACCGGTCCCCATACACCTTAACCGAGCTTTCACTTTACGATTGGGACCGAAACTGATTCAGATTGTCACTGTTTCGGCCCAGAATTGATTTGGATCCGGCCCGGTATAGGACCGGCTTTTGGCCATGCCTGGTCCCAATTGGTAACAGTTTGGACTTTGGACCGGTCCAATTTGGACTAATTAGGTTTTATCTGTCCGAAACAGAAATCTAGAATGGGTTGTTTGTGGGATTTCTTCGAAGTATGGGATGTAAATTGAACACCGTTTATAGTTTGGGGGATATAAATGAAATTATTTACAGAGGCAAAAATTGGGCGAGCTAAACCCTCATCCTTTCTGGTTTCTCAAGTCTCGTAAGCACACAAATGGGGGCTCTGCGGCTTCCCTCTCTTACATCCATTTTCGCCATCTCGTCTTCCCGTTCGTCGGTGTTTCTCCGCCGTAGCAAGCAGCTCCATGTTCGGAAATTCACTGCTACAACCAAAGTTTTCGCCCAGAGTACTCCTGCCACAGAGGTTGCTCCGGCTGAATCGAACCAGAAGCCGCCAGTTCAGGAACAAGGCATAACACCTCGTTCTCAGGATTTCAATGCTTGGTACCTTGATGTCATTTCCATGGCTGAGCTCGCCGATTACGGGCCTGTTCGTGGTACGATGGTTATTCGACCATACGGTTATGCCATTTGGGAAGCTATTCAGGTAGGTCTTTTGTTTGTTGCGAGATATACTGATTACGCTTCATTTATTCACTTTCGATTTCGTATATTCCAGTTCAAAATTGAAGTTGATTTTTCCAATAATTTTATCTCTAGAGTGTTTTCATTGTACACTTTTGTACAAGTTAAAGGACTCAATTTGTGGCTTGAGACAAATGATCACATATTGAGACGTCTATCTAAAACGTAGTCAAATATGCCACAGTGCAAACCTTTTAGTAGCCATTGCCCATTGGTAAAATCATGCACTTAGATGTAAATCTGTAGCTCCTTTTGATCATCTGGATTCTGGAATGGACCCCGTATTCTTCTGGAGAGATCTTAAATTTCAGTTTTCTTTTGGCAGGATTACTTGAATGTTAAATTCAAGGAGACTGGACATAGTAACATGTATTTTCCACAGGTACGTGTTAAGTTAACGTCCTTTGTTGATTATTGAATGTGGTGAACTAGGTCTTGGAGATTATGTCTCTATCAAATTTATTTAAGAAAGAGTGCTTGTGATTGGCTGCAGTTTATACCGTATTCGTTTATAGAGAAAGAAGCGAGCCATGTTGAGGGTTTTAGTCCAGAATTGGCTCTTGTGACTGTTGGAGGAGGGAAAGAACTTGAAGAAAAACTTGTGGTACTGATTCTAGTTGCTCTACAACTGCCAATATACACTTACTTTGATTTGATATTGTTTTGTATATTTCTGGAATTGTGTTTCTAACTAGAAGATAGAAATGGATTCTGTAAATGTTGATTTAAGTCGGGAGAACCGAGTCCTGAGTATGACTTTGATTCTTGCAATTCATGAGGCTCTTGCAGGTTCGACCTACTAGTGAAACCATTGTGAACCACATGTTTACCCAGTGGATTCATAGTTATCGTGATCTTCCCCTTATGATCAACCAGGTATGGTTTTACTTTCTGCCTTTTATTGTCAACCTCTTTTATGGGATTATTCATTGTGACCTTTATTTCATAGAATTTATTATTAATTACGTTTCCTGATTATTGCTAGTGGGCAAATGTCACAAGATGGGAGATGCGCACCAAACCTTTTATTAGGACTCTTGAATTTCTCTGGCAGGAGGGGCATACTGCGCATGCCACTCCCGAGGAAGCAGAAAGGGAGGTTTGTATCTATTTTGTGTAAAAGCCTGTTGATGGTTTTCGGGAAGACACTACTTTTTGTTCTCTCTAACAGGTTGCTGCTGCTCAAACTGCAGGCGATGCAGATGATTGATGTCTATACAAAATTTTCTTATGAAGAAGCTGCTATACCTGTTATTCCAGGTCGAAAATCAAGGGTAGAGACATTTGCTGGAGCAGATAGAACTTATACAATTGAAGCTATGATGGGTGATCGTAAGGCCTTGCAGGCTGGAACCAGCCACAATCTAGGGCAAAACTTTTCTCGTGCTTTTGGAACACAGGTTTCTTTCAAACCATATTCACGGCGTTGCTTTAATTTGGTTCTTACCATTGTAATGTAGGAAAAAGGAAAGAGAGATTTTTCTACTTAGATTGGAATCTTTAAATACAATGCAGTGAATTTAGCTTGGGAATAGACTGCTGCAGAATTGAGTATCTTTTAAGAACCAAAGCACTATTGCTACTGCGACAACTATTGACCCCAAAACTTAAAACACCGTCTGTACAGTTTGCTGATGAAAATGGCCAAAGGCAGCATGTATGGCAAACTTCCTGGGCTATAAGCACCCGATTTGTTGGTGGTATCATCATGACCCATGGAGATGATGCTGGATTAATGCTTCCCCCAAGGTTGGCTTCTATACAGGTATTATTCTTCAACCTGAAGTCCTTAACAGAATTATTTCAGATATGCTTTTAGCTTTTTTAGTATGGAATTACCTTTGTTGGTCATCTGGCTTCAGGTTGAATCAAATTTGTTTCTCATGCTGTAGGATTTTTTCCCTGCACTCCGCATGATTTTGTTTTCTTTGTCGAACAGAAATGCTCTGCTCTTATATTAAATACATTCGGAAGGGACAGTGCTATTTTGAATGAACTTTTTTTTTATAAATATAATATGCATTTCCATTCTCATTTTTTAATGATCAGTTAACTGAGTAATGGCATATTGAAAGTTTGTTTCATGATTTCAAGGTGGTAATTGTACCGATTTGGAAGAAGGCTAATGAAAAGAATGAAGTTCTTGATGCTGCATCGTCTATCAAAGACGTTCTTCATACTGCTGGGATCAAAGTAAAGCTAGACGAATCTGATCAAAGAACGCCAGGATGGAAATTTAATTTCTGGGAAATGAAGGTGAGATACTAAATGGAGGTTAAAGTAATTTGTTGAGACTATGTCATCTCCATATTCTCTGGCAAGTCCAAAACAGTATCTATTTTTTGTATGCTTTTTTTCTCTTCTCTAAGCTGTGAATTTACTCTTTTTTGGCTTGTGAGTGGAGGGAGGGACAGAATGGGCAGAGACATAGAGATCCAAGGCGCAATTGTCATGCTATGATAATTCTTTCCATGTTTCCATAAATAATCAGATTAACTTCTTTTTCATGCTGACCATGAGTGAGTATGAACATTTTAGGTTAATTCATCCCATGGTCTCACACGTGATCCATGGCAACATGGTGTTATCCAAGTAGTGATTTACGGCTTCTCTTAAAATGTAGTCTCGTGATTATCGACATATGCTACTGTATGCAAATGAATTTCAAAACATTATATTTTGCAAGGAATTGGCATTACTGCCGCATTGTTACGGGTGTAATGTTCTTCTAACGAGGGAGCCGTTTTTTCTAGAAATTTAGTAATTCTCAGCTACTCTGGTGTTTTGGTTCAAGTTACTTGATAGTTGTAAATGATAACTTTGGTTTTCTCCTCTCCCACAGGGCGTGCCTCTAAGAATTGAGATTGGTCCTCGCGATGTTTCAAGTAGGAGCGTTGTGATATCTAGAAGAGATATTCCTGGAAAACCAGGGAAAGTTTTTGGAATATCTATGGAACCTTCAGTTCTTGTACCTTATGTCAAAGAAAAGCTGGATGAGATCCAATTATCCCTTTTGGATAAGGCCAAGTCTTTTCGAGATAGGTATACTGTTCAATTCTAACAACCTTGTTTGTGTTCATTATAGTGAAGAGAAAGGAATGGGAAAGATGTTAACACCACTTGTTTTCTTAGCAACTTTGAGAGAAAACAGGGACAAAACATTAAGATGATGTTCTATCATCATTTTTACCTTCCTTTCCATAAAAAACAAGAGAAAATGAAAGATTTTACCAGAAAAAGAGGAAAGGAAGAATTTAACCTTCCTAGTAAACTCATATACAAGAAAGAAGTAGGTGAATCCATATCTATTTGTTTTTCCTAGCATTTAGTTTTCTAGTTCACTTTTATCTCCAAATTTGGCTAAATGTCCCCTTCTGAACGGTATTAATGTTAATGAGTACTGATTTATCTGCAGCAACATTGTGGATGTGAGCTCATATGACGAACTCAAAGAGGCAATATCACAGGGAAAATGGGCAAGGGGTCCATGGGTAGGAAGGTAAGTTGTTAGCTTTTTCATTTCCAATTTGTTGTTGTCAATCATGATGTTTTACAAAAAAATCAGAATTATTAACGAGATAAAGACATTTATTAACACTGAATGTATTTTCTTGTGTCCGATTGTCTGACCCACTTCTGACCTCCTTTTGTTGTTGTGTTACGCAGTGATGAAGACGAACAGACGGTCAAAGAAGAAACTGGAGCAACCCTTAGATGTTTTCCTTTCGAACAACCTCAGGGGCCAAAGAAATGCCTGATGACGGGCAGTCCAGCAGATGAAGTTGCAATTTTTGCTAAATCTTACTGATCACAACACAAGGCCATATCCGTAATCAGGTCTTCATTCTGCTTTTAACTCCTCCATGTTCTCTTAATCTAACTATGTTAGGCTTATCTTGTTTTCCCCATTTATGGCATACCTTGAATCCATTTTCTTAATACTATTGCTTGAAAAATGAAAAAGCCACCTTAATCTGACAATGGGTCCGTTTACCAAACGCTTACCGAGTGTTGCTTACCTTACCCGGGGAGCATTCCACGAACCGAGAATCTTACAGTAAGAGGTTGCGACTCTTGCCAGTAAGTGCTTATTTGGTAAAGGCCTTCCAGCCTAGTGGTAAAGGCTTGGGCATGGCATAGTCATGAACCCGAGTTCGAGCCCTGGGAGGGGAATGTTGGCGACATTTAAGTGGGGCCATGTTTAGCCTCCAAATTTGCCGGGGATTAGTCGGGCTTTGGCCCGGACACCCTTACAAAAAAAAAAAAAAAAAAAAAAAGTGCTTATTTGGTAAGCATTTGGTATACGGCCCCAAATGATTCGATTTGTATTTGTTTTTAGTTGGAATTACATTTCTATCTATTGGGTGCTTGAAATCTTTATAGAATTTTTCGTCTTTCTATGTTGATGGGTTCCAATTTGTTAATGCAGCTGACCGAGCCCAACTGATCGGTGGAGCTGTGTATGAAAAGCAGAATGAAGAAGAAAACAAGACAGAGATATGATTAGGGAATTGGAAAGGGAAAGCAGAAGGAACCAAAGCAACGAAGATAGAATAATTTGCTTGCGATGACACATTTCTTATTGTATTTCTCTAAATGCAAACATTATGAACGGTATTTATGCGTTGTGTCATGTGTGATACGAAGGTTTTGTTATGGCAAAAGTGCAAATTTTTAAGCGTCCAATTGTTGGGCGATGAAGAAGGCGCATGAGAAGTTGCAGAAAATAAGGATTTTGTTGGACATGATACCAAACGAGGTCTTTAAATTAGAGTGAGGAGTCGAGTCTATCAAGATAAACCAAGAGAGGATAAAACCGTGTTGGTTCGGGCACGTTCGAAGGAGATGGATGATGGCATCACTGAGGAGGGTTGAAAGTGTAACGATTGAGGGGGTGAGGATGTACACAAACGATTTGAAAAGCGCTGCGTAGTGAGCTTAAGCTTAAGGCATGTTTGTTAACGACTTAACGAGCTTAATGGGATGTATAACCTAATTCGGTCGGTTATAAATGACAGTTTGGTAGTTAGTGTCTTAATGATATAGAAACAACTAATTTAGTAAACTTGTAGGGGGGTTTTATGTAAAAATCCAAGTTTTTCTAAACTTGTCTCTCCTAATTAACATGCTCATTTTATCTACAAAAAAAACTCTCTCAAACAAAAATCTTCTCAATCTATACAGATAGATTAATTTATAAAGACAACTTTATTCATAAAGTATTCAATAAAAACAAACCAAATAACCTCTTTAGTTTGGACAGGTTTTTAAGATAAAATAGTATTGCGAACTTTCGACGTCTCAAAGAAATTTTCCAAATCTTTGTTAAAAGGAGGAAGTCTTAAAAAACAGTCTTTCGAGACTGGTTTGGATATCTCTAGTTGTATGTAGTTTTATTTATATTGTTTTTTCTCTTTTTTTTATTCGAGAAATAATATCCGAAGAGATCGGTTGGGTTTTAGTAAGAGGTGAAAAACGTAAAAATGAATCTCTACCCTTAGAATTTAGATGCATACTTGACACCACGATGAAATGCATCGAGTGTTATTCATAAGTGAGTTTGAGATTAAAGTTAATTAAAAATTCAAATTCCTTTTTATATTTCTCATTTTAACCTTCTTTCTCACCCGATACTCATTTCGAAGAGATAAACAATTGTTACTTACGTGCTTGCTATAAGACGTAATCAATTAATTATTGAATAATGTGCATGTTAGCAAAAGATGGGGTAGGTGCATGTTACCAAAAGATAGATAGGGTTCGTGTGGCTTTCAACCGAAGCTATCTCCAACACATACCTTATCTCATCGTTCACAATTCCACGTTAATTTTGGCTTTATTTCTTTTTCATATTATCATTATACAAACTCCTCCAACATCCACGCTTAATAAAATACATTACTATAAAAATGTTTTTTTTTTTAAAACCCATTAAATTAAACAAGAAAAAAAAATAGGGAACTGCGAACGAACATAGCTCTGTGAGAAGCGAAGAAATAAAACAGAGAAACCAAAAAAACAACACCCAAAATCAAAGGGGAAAGTAGATCAAAATGAAACTAACTTTATTTTAATTCTTATTTTGTGAAACCAACTTTCAAAGCATTCATTTTAGGGTATGACACAAACTTTGACTACTTAACCTCAAAACCTACTAATGATAATGTGGAGTTTGTAAAATCTGATATATCATTTTTATTTATTTTTATTACGAACTAAAATTCCATGTCATTAGTTAAAAAAAATCAATATATCATCCGTCCTCTTGCTTCCCAATTCTTGGCTCCCCAACCGGCCGCCTACACCTTCGAAGACTACTTTTTCCATGAAGAGGATGATGATGGAAAAACCTTTCCATATTTCGAATTAATGTGTTTATGGAACAGTCCTCTTTCCGACAGTGACCCTCCACCTCCCTTCACCCTGTACTTGAAGGAAATGTGGTGGAGAGGCGGGAAGAAAAATGAATGGAGGTTAGAGATTGGGAGGAGGGGATTGGAAAATGATGAAGATGATGCAGCCACCGTTGCTAGGTCTTTAGTTTAGAGTTTGTATTTTTTCTGGGAATATTTTAGAAAAAATTTGTTGGAATATCCACATAATTTAGTTTTTTTTTTGTCACTATATTTTAAGGTAACCGATTACCTGTTCATCATGTTAACGAGTTTCTTGAATACATAAAAAGTTTGTTTCAAACCCTAAAATGAATACATAAAAGGTCTATTTTAGTTATTTTCATTTTAGTTTAGGGTCCAATCTTGATTGAGGAAGAGTTACGGACAAGTAAAACAAAAAAGAGGGATATTTCAACAGAAGGAGAAGGATCTGCAACAACCGAGAGTACTGACCCTGTTCTTGTTCCTAACCTTTGATCATTTAAAGAGTAATATTAATATAATAATATTATAATTACACTAATATAAATCATACAGCAATAAAATATATTTTATAAAAAGCATATGATAAACTCTAAAAAGCAAAAGGATGTAATCGTTATTAATATTTAGTCAGTGCTTAATATAAAATTTCAGGTAAATATAATTTTTTTTATCTATTATCTATCTTAATAAGATATCTTATTTTAATCAAAACCCTTATCATAGTCGCTCTTTATTTGATTAAGAAAGGAAATATTTTTTGGTCACACGATGTAATTCAATTAGGTTGTGATTAGAACACTGAATATGACTTAACAAACCATAAATTGAATCATTGTTTCACGTATGACATGACTTTTATGTGGAATAAACATAAACAAGGTGAATAAGACGTGTTCCATCTCTACCTCATGGAATAAGGTGAAACAAGACTATTTTACCAATGTACTATAAAAAACAAACATAATTGTTTTTTAAAACATCAAAACATTTCCATTTTTTCATTTTATCCATTTCTTTAATTTTTATTTTATTATTTAAAAAAATGATTTTACTATCCTACAAATATTATTTTTATACATTTTTTATATATTTAATATAATATATAAAATTAAAACAACCTTTTAATCGTTTTAATGAAACTTTTTAAGTAAATATCTTTTGTTATGAAAAATAATTATCGTATTATAATTTAATAAATTAATAAAAATATAAAAAACTTATTAAAAATAAATTAATTATTTTACCAGTCTAGGACAAGGCATTCACTGGATATGGAAAGTTTGCGACAGTGACCGTTGGATGATAGATAGGGCTTGAATTAGAGCCACACGATTATACCCTCCATCATCGCCGCACCTTTCCCGTGTTAAACTAATGCAAAATCTCCAAGTTTGACCTAGCGCTTCTTATCGTCAGACAATATCCAACCATAAATACCCTCCACCATTTTCATTTGGTTTTGTGGTCTCTTGAAGAACAAATTCGGATTTTGAGGTTTCAAATCTTCAAGAGAAATTTGGTGCTTCCATCACAGAAACCAAAACGTTCGACGATTCGTTCAATCTGGCGTATGATTGATGCAAATCAAACAACCAAGAGTTTGACATTTCTGTTTATGTTCAAAGGATAGATCTTAATTTTCGTTTGAATCGCCCAGAGAAACAGCGGGTGTTGATTGATTCCTTGATTCAGGTCCAGTCAAAGATTGAACACAGGTACGAAAAAACCGTAAGTTTTTTTTTGATTTTACACGTGTTTTCATGTGATTGTTTTTCCCAATCAATCGATGAGGAGTTTTCTGATGTCAGACTGATGCAAATCTCCGGCATTTTAGTTGACTCGGTCCCAAAACATACAGAAATTTACGCACCGAAGATGATTCTCCGCTAGATGAGTTGATGAAAACGTGAGAACCCTAATGATGTTACTATCTATTGATTGATCTCTACTACAAACAGAAATCCTGCAATTATTCGTTCTGTTCCATCCGCGTCTATGGCCGAACCTCCAAACTTGACTTTGATTTAGCTTTTTCTGCTGCGGTTTATCATCTTAGTGACCTAGAAAATACTCACCTCTATATTCCAAGGATTTCTTCAATGGAGGCATGATTTCGAAAGGGGCAGATCCACGGAAACTAAATCTAGCTATGCTGTTATAAATCTAAATCTCCACTTATCATCATGATGAGGGGAACGTTCTTCCTGCCTTAGATTTAGTTTTTTGTTCTCCTTTATCAGGATCTGAAGCTCGGAGTACTTTTCGAAAACCTGTTCTGTTCATGAACTGGATTAGGGTAAATTCTAGGTCCTGATGAGATATCAGAGTACTTTTTTTGGATCTGATAATAATCGTTGGGAGCACCCATCGATTAAGTTCTTCAGGGCCAAATCTACAAAGAACTGAATGAAGTGTTACCATTATGCCCGTACGTAAGTATAGTTTCTCAACAATTATATGTGGAATCGTCTGGCCTTCGATTCTTGTACAGGTTTCTAGATCCAGCCATAGGGTGATACCTGTAGATCTTGTCAAGAACATACTCCCCATAGGTCCAGATGTATAAAAAGATCTACAAAATACTGTTATGCAGTATTTAGTTCTTAGTTTTCGGCCAGAGCTTTGTATGCATAACTAATATATTTAATTGCCAAGACCAAATGTCTAATGGTTGAACTAGTACCTTCAATATCAGCAAGCGGTAAATATTGGGCATACTCATAACATTAATGATTCTTGTGGTCCCAATTATATCTTTGGATTGGCTCATCTATTGCCAATTCTCATGATGTTGGACCCTATGAAATATTTTCTTGAGGTAGGCTCCTTCCCAAATCGCCACTGTATCAGGATTCTTAAGGTTCAGTCAGCATTTCAAACTTGAAATTCTCTACACATGTCAATTTTTTCTTAACTTTATGTACATGTTATGTGTAACATTTCCCTAATTGCTTGGAATCGTTTCATACGACATTATGCATAGAAAATAGCAATACACAATGGATGTGATAATAATGTTCTTTCATGTATTGCTTCTGCAGTTTGCAGGTTGCTCTGCACTACCAGTTTGCAAGCTACTAATTTATGGCATAGAACCTGTTTTGACCAGTGCATACCAGAATGGATCCGGGGAACTATATAAATGCTGACTTGAAGTGGAACATAGTGAAAAAAGGTCGTAGGAGTGTGACGAGACGCCCGAGGAAGCCGGGGGCAGACAGTTTTGGATTGGGCAACGATCCAACTGCTTTTGATGCCAAGAAGGTATTTATTTATACCATTTATCTGAGTGTGGGTTCTATCTTCAATATGGCATGGAGATTTACTCAATACTTGTCTTAACAGTCTGGCACAGATGTTATTGGGGGACACTTTGCAGAGAAGGTAGTTGATGCCCCTTTAAAGAAAAGAAGACTTTTGCGTCAATCTCTATCTCCAGCTCCTCAAACTCCATGTCTCCATGGTGAAAGGGATCTGTCACCGCAACCTCAAACTCCCTCTGTCCATCATGAAGATTCTGGTCAGAGATGTCATTCAATTTCACTATCCCTGAGCCGGAAAACTAAGTCCAAAAGTGGATCGAGAAACAGTAATATACTAAAGCAGACAAAGAAAGAGGTCTCCAAGCTGGATGACTTTTCCGGTATTGAACTTCTTGCTGCTGCTGCATGCAGTAGCTTCCTTCATGATAATGCAGATCATGGTGAAGATTTTCCTGTGTTGAAAGAACAGAGAACACCAGGAGTTAATTCATGTACTATTGATATAAAAGAAGCTATCACATCAACCGCTGGTTCATCAAATCGAGACAGCATGGTTCCTGATACACCAATTCTCCATGATAATGGTAACGAAGAGGGGCAGAAAAAGGTTGCTCCTTCCAAAGGGTTAAGGTTACATTGGGACTTAAATACTGTGATGGATGAGTGGGAGGAACCTTCTAACAGTTTGCTGGTTGAACCTCACTCTCATGAAAATTGTTCAGAAGGTGTCTATAATGGTGATTTGAAGGGTGAAAATTTGAATTTAGAAAGTTGTGAAGGCAGATTCACAGAAGTTGAACCTCCCTCTCATCAATTGTTTGGAAAGCATGATGCTGCTCTCTCAGATGTGCTTGTCGTTGAAAAAAGTAATGGTGATTCTTTTGGGAAAACATATGAATCGATTCAAGATTTGGGTTGCACAGAGGATTTGACGGGCACAAAGAAGATCAACAGTAAGATGTCAGATGGTGAGAGTTCTGTAAGTAAATCAGATGTGGTTGATGCGTTGGTTCATCCAGACAAGTGCGAAGATTTTTCCACTTCAACCACATCGATTTTACGAGAACAAACCATCATGAAGTGTGAATCAGACACAATAGACAATCATCTGGAACACAATAATCATAAAAACACCATATCGCAGTCAGATCTGCAGCCTGTTTCTGAAGAAGTAATGCAAGATGGGTTTCCATCTCCGAGATTGTGCACAAGTTATAGTGACAACAAAGTTGGTTCAGAAGATCCTCTCAGTGAGTGCTGTGGTTCAGATGTTACTCAAGATGAACAGGGTCACATGGCTGAAGGTGATACAACAGACAAAGTTCAGGTTGGTTATGATTCTCCATTTGAAGACGGTGAGTTGAGAGAGCCAATTGGATGGGAGGAGAATGAAGTTGTGGAAAAACAGACCATCTATTACGAGTCTGATAACACATACAAAAATGACTATGGCACCATTGAGAACTCTTTGCCAGAAAGAATTAAAACGAGCCATGATCATGGCCAAGCTATGGAAGATCATCCATCATTGTTGGTGAAGGAGGCTGTGCATAACAACGACAAGCAAGGTGCTCAAGCAGATATCCTCGAGAGACCAAATAGTTTGTTTGAAGAAAGTGATTGTGGCTCAGGAAAAGAGATTTCCGGGAGGAAAACTGCGGATGGTGAATCAAGACAGCTTAAAGGGAATTCATTGCTTATTGATGAATCAACATCCATTGACGGGTGTAGGAATGGTGCATATATACGGCACAGCAGGTAATTTCTTATACCATGAAGACAGTATGATGTTAACTTGTATTTCTTGTAGTTTTGGCATTAAATGCTTTTTTGCATGCAGGTCTAGTAATATCGGAGATTATTATTCACGATCTGGGAGAGATTTAGGTCCATGTGTCGATTCCTCCATGAGAAATTGCGATTTGAAGAGCAGTCACGAATACCATAGGCCGAGAAATGGTAATCTAGATCCAGTTGCAAGGTCTGGTGGATGTAGGAGCCTTGACAGCCACCAATTTAGAAGCTATGATCCAAGGGCTGCTTATCGAAGGCCATCACCATCTGAAAGAAACAACGGTTATGGTGTTCCTAGAGGACCACCGGTTAGAAGCCTTAGCCGTGATAGATACAGGGGTGGATCCGGATTTCATCCACAAGGGTTGAGAAGAACCCCTGATGAAGAATACCATGAAAGAAAAATCCGTTGTTTTTCTCCCAATTTCAATCGACCTGGGAGACGATCCCGATCAAGATCCCGGTCAGGGTCTCCTCCCATTGCTTGGCATTTTCAGAAACAAAGGAATCTGGATACAGACGATGAGGCAAGATTTCCGAAGCCAAGTAGTAATTCAAGTGAGATAGAAACTTGTGATGACCGGAGATTGATTGATAAGAAACGATCAACAGTTGCAATGATTAGGCGAACCCAAAGGTTCGAGTCAATTGGGTATCCTGAAAGATTGAAGTCGGATGATCATTTTCGAATCACTCAACGTTCTGGAAGGTTTTCACAGCCGAGCGGTCCACACATATACAAGGATCATGGTGATTCCGTCAAGAAACACGATGGGCATTATGAAAAATCGAGGCGGTTTAGATATATGGCGGATCGTAATCTAGATAGAGATGGTCATGGGCATGGCTGCTTGAAAGAGGCAGCAGGAGGAGGAATGGTTACAGGTGAGAGTAAAAGTGAGGAGAAAGGTCGGAGTTCAGTTTCCCGTTTTTCTCAAGTCTGATAACGAGTTTTTGAATTTTGATTGTTTTCACCTTCACTTTTGGACCAAATTGGTAAGAGTTTTGGTGAGGAGGGGAGGGGAGGGGAAAGGGGTATTTAGGACAATTTTTTTGTATGTTTCATGTCCTGTTTTTAATGGGTCAAATGCCATTTAATGGACTGGTTTCCTCTTTGGCCATCCCCCAGTTTTCACTTTTCAGAGAAGAAAGCAACAAACTGCATTCAACTGTTGATTTCTGTAAACTGTGATATATTTACATGAATCCAACTTCAAAGTTTTATTTATAAAGAATTACATAATTTTGTTTATTTATTTAATTCTAAATAATTATATAAATCTGATATATATATATATATACAATATTATAAAGCATTTGATAAAAATTCTTAAAAATCATTTTTTATGAATGAAGTACTGTTTATTGATGTATACTACTTAAAATTTAAAATTACAAGTAATTTTGCGTAAGTATAACTTATTAAAGCTCCAGTATAAATTCGTGTAACTAACTGTAGATAAACATAATCAAATACAAGATAAACATCCATCTTAAATATAGAAAATCTAAAATATTATTAAGATAATCATTCAGTTATAACAGAATGTTTAATTATTATATTTATAAAAAATATTATATTATTAAACCAAAAATAAATTACTTGTTATTAACCCTAAATTAAATTATAATAAAAAATTAAATTAAATAAATTAAAAAAAACGAGAACTATTAAATAGTTAATTTGATACTAATATCGATTTTATTTTTTTTAAATTTTTATGTTATCTTTAAATTTATATTTCATTCAAAAATAAAAAATTATCGGTTTCTCAAAACACATAAAATTGTATTATATCGATAAACCACATAAAATCGTATTATATCGACGGAGACAAAGAATAAAAACTAAACATTAAAATAAAGATTTATCTCGCTTTATTATACGAGTACCCTTCTAGTATATATTATATATATATATTGCTTCAAATGAATTTTAAACACATATTTAGAAAACAATTAAAACATAAAA